AAAAAAAAAAAAAAAAAAGAAAAGACCTTATCTTATTTCCTATATGTTTGTGCCTGATGTATAATTTGGCCCTAGTTAGAATGGTGGTCTGGGGAAGTGGCCTATGCAATCTCTGCTGTTCTGGATGTATGGCTCCCTTTCTTTATTGATTAAGGTTGTGATTCTTTTTATAAATGTTCCATGGCAGTGGGAAGGGATTCTCTGTCACATTCCACATCTGGATCAGTTCCTCCCAATTTTGTTGGTCAAATCCAGATCTGCCATATCCTGTGCAATGACAAGTTAGTTGCATTCTCACCATCACTCCTGGGGCCTCTCCACTTGCCGTGAGCTGGCTCAGCAGTGTGCTCCGTGTGTGTTGATGCAGGGCGATCCACTAGTATTCCCAGCGCTAACTCCCCCGTCTGTGGCCTGCTTGCTGCTTGGACTTCACCATGTCTGGTGTTGACAGTGCAGACCCGAAGCTGTCCACACATGGGTGCACACACTCCTGTCTTCTTGTTTGCACTGGACTGAAGTATCTTTGGGGGTTATTTTCAGCTGCTGAATTTGGAATGATTTTTATCTTTTCTGCTTTCCACTTATGTCCATGTGTTTATTTTATACTGTAGTGATTGGTATTTATCAGGTGAATATAATTGGTATTTAACAGGTGAAATAATCCACCTGTTCTGGTTGAGGTCTTCTGGGACTTTCCAGGGTGACAGGTTGTCACTGCTACCTGGGCCATGTGGACCCACACCAGCATTTTGTAGTTACGAATTGTACAGTCACAAATGTCTTTGGGCAAATCCCCTTCTATTCCTGAAGAAAGCTTTTGGCTTGCAACCCCACTGGCCAGCGGGAAGGGCCAGTCACTTGGTTCTCCTCACTGCCCTGTGCCCAGATGGTTCTAGAGCTGCTATTTCCCCCTTGGCCCTGTCCACACCACTGTTTTTACTTCTGCTCACTGGCTGAATGCAGTGGTTCCCAGAGCCAGTGCCGCGTTTCCCCACGTAGCTCACTCTCCCCGCGGCATGCACCCGAGGGTCCTATGGCTAACACGCTGAATTAATTCTTTGCTCATCTTACAGAGTGGGTTTTGACTGCCCCCATTTCTGAGGCCTTGTAGGCCAGAGCTTTGTTGCCTCATCGGCAGGTTGGGACTTAGATGGCCGTGACCGTTTCCTCTCTGCTGCTGCAGTAAGTAAGTGCCTGCACCGTGTGTTTGGGGGCTGAAGTGGAAGCGGGGCTGTGAGGGGAGATGGACATGTGAGGGGGACGGGGCATGAGTGAAGTGGGGGAGGGGTTGAAGGCAGTTGGCCCAGCAGGTTCCCCGCCCTTTTTGAGAGGTCTGAGGCCTGCAGGCCTGGCTCAGAGCCCAGCTGGTAGTCCCCAGACTGTGTGTGTGTGTGTGTGTGTGTGTGTGTGTGTGTACACCTGTGTGTGTGTGTAAAGTGGGGGAGACCTGTGTGTGTGTGTGAGTGAGAGAGAGAGAGAGAGATAGAAGTGGGGGAGAAGTGGAGGGCTGACTGCTCGGATTCATCAGGATGAGTACAAGGCACCCAGCCCTCAGCCTGGCCTGACCTCCTGTGTGTCCTGAGCAGGCTATAGCCCTCTCTGAGCCCCTGTTTCTCATCTGGACCCTGCTGGGGAGGGCTTCTGAGCTCTTTGGCGCTGGCAGCAGGGACTCCAGGAGCAGGACTCTCAGACGAGGACAGAGAGTTCATGCGGGGTTCCCATGGACCCTCCGTGGGGCCAGGGGAGGCAGAGCCTGGGCCAGGAGCATTGGGGCTGTGGACCGCGGATACTGAGGGTGTCCTGACTGCGGCTGAGGGTCCAGGTGGGCTTCGTGTACCTCTGGGTCCTGGGGCCCTGGTGACTTGGACCCGTCCTCTCCGGAACTTGTACTCCAGGTTAGTCAGTGACAGGAGAGAGGCCGGTGGGCACTGTGCTTCCAACTTCATTTCCAGCATGACAGTTCCCAGGAAGGAACCCACAGCTGACCATGGCTGAGAGATCAGAGGACGGAAGGCGAGGCAGGGCATCTGCGTGACCTCAGGTGCTTGGGGCCCAGCAGACCCAGAGAACCATTTGCACTAGGCCAGGGTGCCAGAAGTGTCCCCAGGTCTTAGATTTCCTGTTCTGATGAAAAGACTTTTGCCTTTAATTATAAAAGTGATCTGCATAGAGTCAAAAATTCAAGCCGTGGGTATAAAGTGAAAGTAAAATTCCTGTCCCCTCACCTATCCTGCCCTGCTACACAGAGATGTCTTCTCAAGTTTCCTAGACCTCTTCTGGAAATTTCTATACTCACAGAGATGCTTGTGACTGCATACACTGTCCCAGAACCTGCAGGACTGTGCCTCGTGTTCGGTTTGCTGGTGTGACTTGATGCTCCTCAGTCAGGATACACATGTGGCACACTGGGATGTGGCACATGTGGCTGTGCCACTGGGGGACACTGTCCCAGGCGGTGGTGCCTTTGCAAGGGGAGTGAGGAAGGCAGGAGGTGGGCCTGGGAGGGAGGGAGGCGCGGAGCCGCCGCAGGTGTTTCTTTTACTGAGTGTGCCCATGGCCACACTCAGGTTTTGCTTTTCACCTTTCAATCTGTGAAACAGTGAGCAGGAAAAAGCAAAAGGCGCTGGTGGTGGCACGTCCAGCACTGCTGGGCCAGGGTTCGAGTCCCTGCAGTGTCGCTGCTTCCTTCTGGCTCCCTGCTCCAGGCCTCTCCTCCCACCCCAGCAGGGATGTCTTGTCTCCTAGAGGGTGGCATTGGGTGGAGCACCCAGGCCTCTCCCAGAAGCCCTCCTGCCCAACTATCCCCTCCCTCATCTCCTGGGGCCCTGGGAATATAGCAGGGGACCAGGGGCCACAGGCAGCTGATAATTTAGCCCCTAAGCCACTCCCGTGGGAGGAGGAGAGGGACACCAGGCACAGCTTGGGGGCTCGGTACCCAAGGCTGTGGGGCCTACCTGGAGGGGCCCCGTCCCTCAGGCACACTCCTCACTGCCCTCTTCCTTCCAGGGCTCCCAGAATCAACTCACCGCCTCCCTCCTCTCCACATCTGAGGACCAGGGAGGGCTGAGGGGATGGGGTCTAAGGAGAGAGGCCAGAAATCCTGAGGCCTGGGCTGGAGATGGGGGGAGGGAAGATAGGGCCAAATGAACAGACCCTTGTGCAAGAAGGCAAAAGGCTGGGACCACAAGGGGCCGGGTGGGACAGGGGAGTCAGCCTGCACTCTTCAGGTGCCTGGACCCCAGGGATCCACCGGCTCAGCACCAGCAGAGGCAGCAGCTTCCATCCTGAGCAGATGGTTTCTTCCTCACTCAGTCTCTGCCCCCGCTTATCCCCAAGAGGGAAGTCAGGGGTTCACAGTCAGTTTCACCAGCCATGATACTGATTCTGTCTGCAGCTTGGAACAGCCTGCCTGGCCCCAAGGCTCCCCAGGGAGCCCCTGCCAGTCACTATAATAATCTCCTTTAACAAGTTGGGCCCCATAAGGAACAGCCCGAAGCAGGAGAGAGGTATACAGAGCTGGCCTTGGGAGGCCGGCCATATCTCCTGACCCCACAGAGCCCACTCAGAACACCACGCCCCACTGGGTCTTCCCAGCCCAAACTCAAGTCGCAGGATGGCATGGATCCTTTAGGGAGAGCTGGGCTCCCATGGAGGGGAGGGAGCCCCAAACCTCAACAAGGCTGCAGGAATGAGTGTGCAGGGCCAGGGAGGGGAGCCAGGAGACAGAGGGGCAGGAGGCCAGTCAGCTTTGCTGGAGAGGACCCTTCATGAGGAGCCCTGGCTTGGGCCTCCTGGTCAAGGGTGGGGCCAGTTCGCAGCAATCTGCAGCCCCTTAGCCCCTGGCAAATTCTGGTGCCAGAACATCTCCTCTGGAGCTGGTGTCCCTCTCATTGAAGGGGTGAGAGGAGGTAGTGTGAAGCTGAGGTCGTGGCAGGCCATGCCTGGGTGGTGAGGCCAAGCCTCCCTTGCAGCTGCGAGGGCAGGTGGGAGGAGCTGCAGGAGCTGCTGTCCTTGGATGTGATCAACCTGCCACTGGGGACCAACCGGCTTAGGCTCACGTAGCAGCCAAGGCACAGAGCCCAGGACCGAAGACAGACAGGAGCCACCCCCCAGCCAAAGAGCATAGACCTCTGAGTACCACCTAGCCTGTGTGAGACTCCATATCTCTAAAAGGGAGTTCGGGCCAGGTGCAATGGCTGACACCTATAATCCCAGAACTTTGGGAGGCCAGGAGTTCGAGACCAGCCTGGCCAACATGGAGAAATCCCATCTCTACTAAAAATTCAAAAATTAGCCAGGCGTTGATGGCAGAAGGTCTTGACATGTCTGTGATGGAGTACATGTTGTTTGCTGAGAGGTGATGGCAAGGAACACTGAGCCATCCCCAGGCAGGAAACTGCTAGAATAGTAGACAATATGTACCAGTCATGCACTAGTTAAACCAGTTCCCAAAACAGGATACGTGACCTTGTCCCCATTGCTGACTCACAAAGAGTGCTTTCTAGCTTATTTCTGTCTTAGTGCTGAACAGGCACTATCTGCTTGTTTAGTCTATCTTTATTCTATGAAGAAACACTGAGCACCTGCTTATTAAAAATAATCACTTGTGCCGGACGCGGTGGCTCACGCCTGTAATCCCAGCATTTTGGGAAGCCAAGGCAGGCGGATCACGAGGTCAAGAGATCGAGACCATCCTGGCCAACAGGGTGAACCCCCTTTCCTACCAAAATACAAAAATTAGCTGGGCATGGTGGCACGCACCTGTAGTCCAGCTACTTGGGAGGCTGAGGCAGGAGAATTGCTTGAACCCAGGAGGCGGAGGTTGCAGTGAGCCGAGATCGTGCCACTGCACTCCAGCCTGGCACCTGGCAACAGAGCAAGACTCTGTGAGAGTCTGCGCTGGGCTTTCAGCTGGGAAACGCTGTCAGCCCCCTGGGGTCTCACTCCGATCTCACTTTTGCGCTTCATCTTTGTGTCTGATTCTTTCTTTCTTT